CCTGTCACACCACAGAGCTTTTGTATGGCTTCTGGTACTCCTTTGTGATCCAGCATCTTGATACTCACAAGGGTTTGGTAAGACACAGAATCTGTGACAAAGTTGCACCTTTGGCCATCCAGCTTTCCTGTCACATAGACACTATGTGTGCTTGGCATTTTACACTTAGATGTTGGGACTTTCACAACTGGAGTTGGTAGGCGTCCATCAATACGAACCACTACTAGTTTCCTTAAGGCTGACTTATTGGTAATATTCTTCTTACACTGGCTTCTCATATGTCCTTGCTCTCCACAGTTCCAACAACCTTTCTGGGTAGCAGCCTTTCCTGCTGTGGCATCTTCCCGGTGTTGAAGTTGCCGGCATTGAGCTCTCTTGTGTTCAGGTTTGTTACAGTGCCAGCAAAGCCCCTCAAATCTCTCCTGAATCCTGATGACTGTACCAACCTTGGTACCTCTGTGCTGGACTTAACGTAGGATTCGAATTCAAGAGCTCTGGCCATTGCATCCTGCATAGTAGAGGGGTGTGCTTGCTTTACTTGTATTTTCAGTTGTGGACTGTCCAAGACGTCTACAAACTGATCCATCAGCAACAACTTGAGGAGATCGGGTGGTGCAGTTGGGTAGGCCTTGTGTGCCATACTTCAAGTCCTGTGCCAGCTCTTGCAGGCTCTCCCCTTCAGCACGGACTCACGTTCTAAGCCTAGCCCTGTAGACTTCGGACTGATTTTGAGTTCCATACCTGAGTTCTAGAGCCGCTACCAATGCTCTATAGTTGTGCCTGTCGTCTGCTGACAACTGTCCAAATATTTCCAGTGGTTGTCCCTTCAAGCTCGTTGCCAGATATACTGCTTTCAGCTCCTCTGTCCATTCATTCATCTCTGCCAGGAGCTCAAATTGTACTCTGTATGCTTGCCACGGTGCCTTTCCATCGAATTCCTGTGGGTTCCTACGTACTGTATCACCCCTATTGCTGACATTCATATCTGGGATGTCACTTCTAGCAGGACTGAAGATGTCTGCATTAGGGTTTAGCTGCGGGGTCTGGAAGGGGCTTCCCATTGTCTAAGGCTGATTAGGCCCATGGTTAATATATCCTCCTTGTGTAAAAGACAGTAAATCATTCTTTAATGTATTTAATTCGCTTAGAAATTTAGTAATGTTTTCCATTTGTGTACTCTGACTTTCTCTCAACTGTTGGAGACTTTCTTGTTGTTTATTTTCTCGTTCTTCTTGTTTCTTTTTCCTCTAACCACTGCCGCAATTTCTCTTCTTGTTTCTTTTCTCGTTCTTCTTGTTTCTTTTTCCTCTAACAACTGCCGCAATTTCTCTTCTTGTTTCTTTTCTCGTTCTTCTTGTTTCTTTTTCCTCTAACAACTGCCGTAATCTCTCTTCTTGTTTATTTTGCTGTTCGAGCTGCCACTGTTGCAGGTTTTCTTGCAAATCCTGTTGTCTCTTTTTTTGTTTATTTTCTTTTTCCTCCCACAGCTGCTGTAATATCTCTTCTTGTTTCTTTTCTAGTTCTTCTTGTTTCTTTTGCTGCTCTTGTATTGCTGCCATCAAATCTGCAAAGCTTTAGTTTGATTTGCCGCTTCTCGTTTCCATTTTTTTCCCCACTCTCTGACCCCAATTTGTTACGTCTCTAGTCGTTTGTTAATTTTCCGTAAAAGTTCTTTCCGAAGAAACTTTAGCAATACAAGTCCTTTCTTAAATAAAACTAGTTTATTCTTTCTCAATACAACTTTGCAATACACTTAATTTCCACAGTCACGCTATAACTTAAACAAACGCTATAATTCACGCGCTCGACTCAATTGTCCGTCTCTATCTCTGTCTGCAATTCAATGCCATTATTGCTGTCACTTCTAGGCGGTCTTATATACAAGAATGCCGCATATCTAGTAAATACTCGAGGCTTCACGAAGGAACCTGAATTTTCTAGAAGCTCATGACGTATTACTAGCGTCACGTGACTTCCGCTGTCGTAACAATACTTATGTTTATTTATTTATTTTTTTACAAAAAAAAAACAATATTATCATAAGTAACATTAAACATTTTATTTTTGGCAATAAAGCTTAGTCCATTTTATTGAACTTAAAAAAGGTTATGTTTATATTGGAAATAAAAGAGGTCCGTTTAATCTACTAGGTAATAAGGAACTCTATCTCAAAGCCTTTATTTCTTTCATGTTCATTTAATGATTCTATGACTTTTGTCTTTATGTTATCTCAAGGTCAAAATTATGTCCCCATTTCTAATAGTAACAATTACCTTGTGTAACACTTGTAATTGATATTAACCACTAATTTACTAACACTGTATATACACAGTGTTGCAAAAGTCGCACCTCATGAAATGAAATTTGTAGTAGTTATTGTTTCAAAGTTAATGACCAACAATTCAGGCATTTACTTTAATAAACAATAGTATTTTTTTTCTTATTCAAAATCCATATGGGGAATGAAGTTTGCACCACCCTGTATATAGTAAATATCAACTAACACTATCAATTACCAAGCCTTACACACTTAACACTTATGAGTCCCCGAGTCAGAAAATTTAAACCAAAAATTATTTTTACAGTGAGGGCACACACATTATGATTTAAACTAATTTACTACAATGAAAGCTATTATTAAACATGTGAACAAGGCATAAAACACTATCACCTTAATTTATTAGTCATATGATAGTATTTACCATCCATAAACAGAGATGTTTCAGACATATCCCAACAAGTACCTAAAATTTAATTCAATGAAACCAAGTTTATCATAAATATACTACATCTGACTATCATACTGTTGCGTCAGCGAAGTCACGTGACTTGTATCATGCCACATTTTCTAGAAATATCCTATTCCTTCGTGAATGCCCTAGCATTTACTAGATTGGGGGTAGACTGGTATATATAAGATGGTCACAACCTGACGGAACAATATGTGTAGGTAGTGAGTAAATGATCTGCAGTCAGAGAGTATTGATGAAGTTAACGTTCGTTGTTATAGCGTTTGTTTTAGCGCGAATGTTGAAATTAAGTGTATCGTAAAGTTATATTAAAAAAAAATAAACCAGTTTTATTTAAGAAAGGACTTGTGTCGCTAAAGTTTAGTTGGAAAGAATTTACGGAAATATTAATTAAAAACCGGAGACGTAACAATACGTTGGCTTCTATTGGTCACACAAATAACTGGTAGTGATATTTAAGTAGAAAAAAAAAGTGGGTTCCAAAGATATGTTACATGCTTCTCAAAGTTCATCTGCTCTTTGCCAAACAGTGAAGGTTTAGTATGCAACTTAAATATTATGACATTAAATAATCATGTAGCTCAACAATTATTATACTCAAACACATGCATAAGAAATGAACCAACATTAACAACTAAATATCTTTATATGAAATACAAAAATTAACAACAAAAAACATTCATATACGAGATACAAGAAAGACATCTACAGATTAATACAATAAAATTGACCAAAGACAATGCACATAATATATGTATTAGCTTTGTACTTACAATACTAAATGTATTTGGACAAATACACACTTCTTGAAATACCATTGTAAAAATGAAAGCTGCTAGAGCTCTGAAGTATTTCAATGTTTTATCTTTATTTTGGACCGAACAAGTAAATGAAAAACAAGTGTCTAATGTTGCACAAAATTCTATCAATTTAATCCATTCAATTGTTTAGTTCTTAAGATCCAGAGAACATAAAACTTTAAGATAGAAACACAATTACTAGTGTGAAATGGGAGTGGGAAATGAAAGACATTAAGCATGATATTAAGTATATATCACCTTTCTTACCTGCTTTTTGGTTAAAACCTGCAAAAAGAGCTGGTTTATCTTGAAAGGAACTGGAAGAAGTATTAGAAGAAGGTAAGCAAATGGACAAAGCATTCTCATCAAAACTAATCGGGTTTTTCAGCTGCATTAGTGCTACGTTGAAATTGGAATTAAGCTCTCTATCAGGGTGAATATCTATAGAAAGCACTTCATTTTCGAGTGTTTTTCTTCCTACTACAACACGAAGTTTTTCTGGAGTTTGCCTGTAAGAAATATTTATTTGGTTGAAAGAATGTAATTTGCATTCTATTTTAAATCTTACATCATAAATTTATGAGACAATGGTAGACTATTTACTGATTAAAAAGATCCCACTACTTTTGGAAGTTACTTCTTCCTTGAGCCCCAGTGTCTCAGTGGTAAGCTCGAGGGTTTATAACACTAAATACAGAGTTCGATACCAGTCATGACACAGTGCATGTAGTCCATTGTGTAGCCTTGCACTTAAAAAAGTTATTCATTTATTATTGGTAATTAGCTGTAAATGTATTATGATGATATTGATAAAATATAAATTGGCTGTCAACCAAAAACATTCAACCCCCCCCCCCCACACACACGTTTTACTAAACTGCCATGTTGATGAGAAAGTCATTACTTTTATACTGAAACACTGATCCTACTTCTCTCTCTTTTTGACACCAGCTTCGCTTGTTTATATGCAAGTTTTTTGTTACTTAAATAGTGTGATCTAGGTCATCGTTAAACCCAAAGAATCAAAAGTACTGTTGAAAATAAGTTACCATAAATGACTAAATACATGCCATTTTATTACTTTAACTTGTGTAAACATAAAATCACAGCACATTGAAACTCCTTCACAATTTAATTCTGTTTTATAACGATTTGTTTTAAAATCGACACAACGCTTTTAATGCGTTTGAACTAGTGTGAATAGATCTGTTTCGTGACTGTCAGTTGTTTGTTTGTTATAAACTTTTTGCTAAAGTCTAGTAGTCCCTAATTTTGAATTGATAGACCAGAGAGTTGTGCATTTTTTACCTGTAACAATTTTCTTCTTTACCTGGTGGAGGATAAGGAGGAGGATAAAATATATTAATTAGAAAAACATTGTAAATCAGGAAAATGATTATTTTTTTTCTTCTTACACCAGGTGTGAACATTTAAAAATATCGGCAGTTAGTCTTACACTCAGCGATGTGGTTAGGGGAAGTTAATGAACATGAGGTTTTTATCTCTTTTTAAGTTCAATATTTTTGTTAATTAAACCGTTTATAATTGAGAGTATAACTTGCTATTCATTTGAAATTGCCGCAGTTTTAATATACTTGTTACTATTATTTTCGGGACGCCCTAACAAACTTTTGTAATGATAATCGCTGTGTCATGAGTGAGTATTTTGTGTCACTGTTTTCTTTATAGACGAATCAGGTTGTTTTAATAATTTACATTCTATGTGTGAAACATTCCATTTGTGCTTTAAATTATTATACAGCAATAACACTAATGATTGAAAATAACAGGTAAATGTTTTCCTTTCAAAACAATAAACCTAATTTTGTATTCTTACTAGCGTTACCTAGAACTACTGAAAATCAGTAGGGCTAGTTTTGTTTGTAGGGTTACGCAAAAAGCTACACCAAGCCTATTTGCACTAGCCTTCCTTAATTTTGGAATGACAGAGTGAGGGCAGTTAGCCAAGACCACCCATCGTAAGCCCTTAGGCTACGATTGCCAAACTTAAAATAGTGGAATTTGCCCGTCTCTCACATAGCACGAAAGTGCAGGGTGCGATTTTCCTTTTTAAATAAACTTAAGGGGGACGCAAACCATGGAGCTTCTGTTCCACATTTCGGCAAGCTAAACAACGAGCAGGGTCGGGACAGTGGTGTTAGGGGACGGGGGGCGGGTTACCGATTTCAACATTTTTGTATGATTCGGTGGGTAATGATTAATTAAATGATCAAAAGAAGTTACTTCAATTTATTACTGATTATTTTAAATGCATTTTTACATACTGTTATATGAATCCAATCAAATATGATTATCAATATATTATGTAATTTAAGTAAGAAAATTAACTATTTTAAAATAACGAAAATTAATTGGTCCAGCAAAATACTAAAATATTTGCAAGAAAACACTAAACAACAGTAAAACAAAAAATAATAATTCATAAAGATCGCGTGCGCGTGTGTTTCTTTGAATAATGTAATGTAACAGTAAATTTTTAACACTTTCAAAATATACTAAACTGACTACTATATCAAGTCTATCTTAGTAATATAAAACAAAAAAGATAATTGCAACAACTTTTCAATATATTAGTTTTGTACTTATACAAACAGACAAGACTATATGTAAAGTTACTGATCGTTTAATGTGAACTGATTAATTCATTAATTTACATGATTCTAAGTAAAAAGTAATATTTTGAGAAACTATGAATTAAAATACACTTAAATTTTGAAGCAATAATTACTTGTTCACCCTTTAATTTTTTAAACTACACATTTTAGAAAGATATTTGTTTCCCTAAGCAAAGAAATAAACAAGTTGCAGAAACTTTGATAATTAAAATATTGAGAAGGCGATACAATTAAAAAACAAAACAGGATGTATTATCAGTTTCAATTACTCCTCGTAGCAGTAATGAAGTCATCAAGTCACAAATAATTTCAGAAAATAATTGATGTATTTAAATTAATTAGCAACTAATTTACAAATCGAATCACTTTAAACTTATATTTTTTTGGTTTGTTTCATAACCGGAACATCTGGTAATGATGGGAGTATTAAATGTTTCCAGCTAGTAGTGTGTTAAAATTATCCAACATTTTTTTTTCTTTTTTTACAAGGTCTAATGAATCACGAAATATGACGAAGAGCTGTGATTATTTCACGGACAGGGAAAGGCGTTTGAGCATCGTTGTAGGTTTAACGTCACCGCAATTCTTTTAGCTATCTTATTTCTTCTCGCAATCTTCGATATTGAGCTACAGTCTCACCAGTACGTGATTGCACCATCAGACAAAACGGATATGTACCTCCCATATGCACGATTCTGAGAATTATACTTAAAACAACCCGTAAGGTGAGTCCAAACTATGGAAATTTTCTTACGAAACATGTACTTACATGGTAGTTATAAAAAAAAAAAGGAAAACAAATTGAAACAAGTTATCAATAAGATTTCACTGACTAAAATCGTGAAATTCGAATAATGGGATTTTACCATTTCTCTTATAACGCACCAATTGCCCCAATATTCGGAACGCAATTTTGTCTTCCCCCAGCAGCAATCATGGTTTCACAGTCTGGCACACTAAACAATGGATCGCGTTCTGCTCATTGTTAATTTAAGCATAACAAACAAAACAATGCATGGACTATAAAAACATGGAAAGAAAAAAGACGATATTTGGCTAGAGATAGCTTTCTTATTTTAGAGTAGGGTTGTGTAAAATCAATTCCACGCATTTCGAAATTAACCCAGAAGTGAGAAAATTCCAAAAATCAATAACTACAGAAATTGTTATTGAAGGCGTGTATACGAAACTCATAAACAAAATCTTAAAGTAATGGTAATGTGTCCTTTTTGAATATGTATGCACCAAGCCCAGCGAATTTGTAACACATTCTGGACATGTATGCAACCGAATATTCGATGGTTCTCTCAACTTTTATCTTATTTGAAAAAGCTTTATGTGGTATAAACTCTTTCAGCAATTCATGGTCGCCTTCTTGTATTAGATTTACGAAAGTAATTTATATGTAGATACAGCAGCGAGATAAAGGTTTTCCTTTTACACCCATGATATCTTCGGTACTGAAGACCACATATTATTTCACCACTATGCACAGACTATTTCGAAATTTTATTTGTGGAGACTTTTTTCCGAAATCAAAGCATTGTTTCCAAAATGATATTTTGCAAAAATAATTTCGTTAGTGTAGTTGGTTTAGCTGAATAACACCTACAAAAATTGTCCAGGTCAAAGACTCCTGTGGTTCAAGCATAGCCTTCCATAAATTTGAGCTGCGGACCAGACGTAAGGCCACTAGCGTCAGCGCTCGAGACTTAAGCCAGTGCTTCCCAAACTTTTTCAGCTCCTCTCACACTTTTAATGTCCCATACTATTCGCGGTCAATATGAACAAGTACATATGGCAGACCTAGTGGCACTCCCCCTGACTTAGACAGCCAGATATTACTGTTATACCGTGTATCAAGGTGAAGATAAATTTAAAAATGTATTAAGTTGTTAATTAATTTACATTACTGAATAAAATTTACCTAATACTTGCAAATATTCCACGGCACACAGTCTGGGAAGCACTGTTTTAATTGAGCAGCTACTTTTAACCGAATATGAGTGACTGCAACTTTTATAATGCACTGCCACGTTGAATAGCACCACGTCTCAAACCTCAAATTCCCAATCTAATATACTGGCTCGAGCACCTCTAAAAGCTAGTTATTGATAACGTAATATTTAATCACACATTGCTATCTATGAAAATTAACACTTCACTAATTTATGTGATTCTATAACGTTAAGGTAAACGTCAATTGAAATATATATTTCCTATCATAAAGAAAATAATTTATTAGTTGCAATCCAATCGCTATGAAGCACACGCAGAAAAACAAGCGCTTCTATCAAAGAGAAAGAATCGTACAACTGTACTGTGTACATAATAGGCAATAGTAACAATGTTTTGAATAACCTGATTTACGTAAGAACGAGTGCTACATGCTTACGGAACTTACTAATGTAAAATAGTAAACATTGATAGAGAACCAAATAAGAACTTGTTTTTGTACAACAGGGAAAAAAATTGAAAAAAAGTTGGAACGCATCAAGAATATATAGGTATGTAATAAATGCACTTCTTGTAAACCATTAGTTGTTGCAATGACAAAAATTACTCGTAATTGAATGTGTAAGAAGTGATGGAATATAAACAGTACTCATAGATTGCGAATCATATTTACAAAGTGGCTACAAAGTCGGTAGGAATAATAAACGGCACGCGGAAATTCTCGCTTTAATTATTAGACGAATACATAGAAACTACGCAATACAAACCGAAATATTAATGTTGTTGTAGCATTGCTAACTACCACTCAATTAGTAGCTCGGGCAACATTCATCCTATGTTACTTATAACTTAGTCACATCAGGACTCGCATCAGATCACGAACTTGAACCTCATTGCCGCCTTTTCATAAAATCTTATCCAACCTTGTTTATTAACAAACCGGATCTTAGATTACTGCTGAGCCACCGGGAATTGGGGGAAAAAGGGGGGGGAAGCATGTGACTTTACTCTAGTGCAATTCATTTTCACCGAATAGAAGATGAGCAATCCTATAATATTTGTACTTTATACTCATTTTATTCACTGTTTAAATAACTAGTTCCAAAACTGGGGTCAATGTGGCCTAATGGTTAGCGTGCAGAACACAGTTACTGCAAAAATTCTCTTTGCACTACGGGGCCGTAATGCATTATGGGAGTGAAGGTCAAATCCTACCAATATTCAATTAGAATAGCTTAAGATGCAGCGATGAGCGCTGTTGACTAGCTTCTTTCCCTTTTTGTGTGGCGATTCAGAATTAGGGGCGACTAGCGCGCAGATAATAGTATTTATGTAGATTAGTGAAAATATCCAAAACAAAAACAATTAAAACTATTTCCAGTGCTGTACACAATTAAAAGCTAATAGTAACAAACTGAAGAATTTCTCTTTAATGCGCAAGTAGTGGAAAATTCTGAAATTTTAATCTAATACATTAAAATACATAAATACAAATTACAGTATTTCTCTTCACACAGCCGTTAGAAGTTAATAATACCTAATGAAAACCTCTATTCCACCAAAAGGGGTGACAGCTGTTTTGGTGTTGGTCACACTTAAATATGACAATATAATTTATAAAATGTAATAAAGATATTACTTATAAACAACATGTTAACAGGAATTAGTTTGGTTTGTTTTGAATTTCGCGCAAAGCTACACGTCTCCAGTTCAGCAGTGAAAGATTAGAGGGAAAGCAGATAGTCATCACCACCCACCGCCAACTCTTGAGCTACTCTTTTACCAACTAGTAGTGGGATTGACGGTCACATTATAACGCCCCCGCGACTGAAAGGGCGAGCATGTTTGGTGAGACGGGGATTCGAATCCGCGACCCTAAAGGCCCTAACCACTTGGCCATGCCGGGCCTTTTAACAGGAATGAGAAATTATTCGAACAACAGGAGCGAGTAGAAGTCTGGTTTTATTGGACTGTTTCTAGAGTGGAAAGGCTATGTTGAGGCCTTCTTCTCGTCAAAGAAGAGCATTTCTAATCTTTATTATGTCCACACTGCCCAAAATACCATTGAAACAAGATACCAGCAAGATCCGTGCAAAAGAAAACTTTCTTCATTTTGAATTAGTTTGTTAAAGCTGAGGGTCAATTATAATTTGTCCCAGATGCACAAAATAACTACGTGCTACCTCAATGCAAGGATCTTGCTGAGACAAGGTAAAATATTGCGTAATGTATTTATTGCTGATGAAGTTAAAACTGGTGAACATCAATATCGCCTCGTTCAGAATCAGACTATCTGAATTTTTTTTTTTTTATTCTTATAAATTGAATAATGCTAAGACTGCTGGGTCCAGAACGAGCATGATGTTGTTCAATTTGTGATGGCACAGAAGTTGTTGGATTAGTGGGTGTAGTTAATACGACTGAGAAAAAAAATGTGGGTAATAATTTGTGATTTTGTAACAAAAAATAATAATGCATTTTAAGTAAAAAAAATACCAGCATTGTAAACAACGTTTAAAAATTGTTAAGTTAAATTAGTAGTTTACCTTCATGATGTTAAAAAACACGTAGGTTCAAGAAGCCTTGATACAAATGAATAAAATCTATAACCCGAGCGCTTTCGAAATGTGGAGCTTTCTTCTTCAGGGGCAAACTGGGAATCAGTCTAGTAGTTTCCCCGTTAGTTTTAGATCAAACCTACATTAGGCTATCTGCTGTGTCCACCGCGGGGAATCGAACCCCGGATTTTAGCGTTTTAACTCTGTAAACCTTACTGCTGTCCCATCGGGGTATAACAATATAGTGAATATTTCAAGTAATTATCAAACATGAACATCAAAGTTTACTTTTGGGTAAATCTAATTTCTTGAGACAATTCATCATATGAAAGGACATTAAATATATGTAAAATTTTTCTGGTTAACTATGCTGTGCCCACCTCAAGTATCAAACACAGACTTTTTGAAATACAAGTCCTCATACTTACCGTTCAGTCACTGGGAATCTCTAGCATAAAATATTAAATTACGTATTCTTAATGTACACTGTAATTTAAATTTTGATCGCGTGTATAGCCGAAATTTTCTATGCTACAAAGTCCAAACAATAAGCTATGTTGTAATAAAAGTCCAAAATTTAGCTTTTTCATCATATTGGTAAACAAAAACTGACAAGCTAAAAATAAACAATCGTTAATTTCATGTAATGCGTGTAGTAAATAAATGAACATAAAGGGCCAATTTAGTGGCGTAAGTAGAGGGCGGGGTGGGGCACTTTTCAAACTGTCCCAGTAAAAATGTATCAAACTATTCAAGAAAAACAAGAGCATGGGTAAAATTTAATCCAGAACCAAAGAGTATCCAGGGCCGTATGGAGAGCCCTGGACCCCGGCGCTTTATTGGGTTGGCCTGTGAAGCACGTTCCCACGCTTCGCCCAATCATATAACTCCCCCCTTCTCCCACTTTAATTTGACTGCTACACCTCTGCAATTTACAAACAAAGCATCAGATAGTTTAATTATCTTAATACACTGGATTAATTGTACTTTATAAGAACGATTTGCATGTTGTGTTAATAAACAAAGACTGAAGCTGAAGTTGCCAACAACATCATAGCTGTTTTTAACAAGATTTGTTTTACAAGTTATTCAGTGGGTGTATTACCTGTACAATTCCACACATGAGGCGACTGTAACCACGTGGCGTCGAGTGAGCAGAGTACCTTGACATAACACGTTGGAATCTGATTCAGAAAATCTGACCTACATTGTAATGAGAAACATTTCATTGTATTAGTCCCATTTCGTAAATAAATGTTTCGTGCATCATATTAATACAGTTCATAAATACAGCAATGGTAAAAATGGTATTTTTATTTATTTTCAGTTGTCAAAAAATAACTAAAGTAACTGAATGGAAAAAAATAAACAAACAGGTATAAAATCGTGTGTCAAAACCAGTTTCAAAAACAACTAGTACGGGATTAAATATTACCGAGGAAATTTGATATTCTTAAGCTATACTGTAATTGAAATCTTTGTTATATATATTGCCTAAAGTTTCTATGCTATGAGGTATAGGACAACAAGTCTTCAATCTTTGAGCTTATTATACTGGCAAACCAACATTAACAAACTTAAATAAAAAAATAACAGTTCATGCTATATTTAGGAATTGAATCTATATTTTCACTTTATTAGAATGACATTTATAGGATAATGTAGTAACAGTCGTCACAGATGCGAGTTGCGGCGTCACAGACGACACTAGTAGCACCTGCATACTTCTTTTACGATGAATTTCCAACAATTTGACAATGCAATGCTTAACACTGTTTATGACTAGAGGTACCTGTCACAGCCCCAGATTTTTCAAGGAATAGTATTCATAAAGCGAGATCGTTGGACGATGTAAAGGCGTAGAACACGAGATTTCGCAAAGTAAGCTTTCAGTATTATTCTCAGAAGCAGGAAGAACTCGCGGGGCAAAGCGTCTGGAACAGCAACTAATCATATGCGCCGGACTAACATTTAATTATAGTAACTGTATAGCTTTTGAAACTAACTTGTATTTCAAAAATTGTTTATTGGTAAATAGATAGATTTATAGTAGTATGTATGAATCAGTATAAACTATGCATAATAAATTACACGTATAATCTGCAAGGATATATACTTGTGCTTGCTAAAAACTATGGTAAGTATAAGTGCCAGTGAGCAACAATTTTTGTGAATCGTAAAGAAGTGTTTGCAAATGATTAATACTTTTTAACAAATTATGGTAAAATTAGCACAAAATTCAATCTCGGAGCACCTATTTTTCAAAATTTTCCTGGGGACAAGCCCTCAGACCCCCCGTAGCACTGGGATGCTTTACACACTATTCTGAGTTGCTTGACCAATTCAAAAATGATTTCCGCACCACTAAAAAAAAAAAATATTCGATAACAGTCTTGAAAGAGAACCTTACAACCCCTCCAATAAAAAAAGATATTATGATGAAGCTAATCCTATTGTGTGGTACTTTTATCAAAATAATAACCAATAATTTGAAGTTAACGAAAGCTCAGAAGTTTCCAGCTACAGCTTTATATCAACTGCCGTTCCCGTAAAAAAGGTGAAAAAAAAAGAAGCCCCACGTGGCAGAAGTGTGTGGTTGTGGCCACCAGAGTGAACAAAATCTGGGATGGAGTAGATAATTCCAATTACAGCACGAAACATTAAACATCGTTCATATAGATTGCAATTAAGCCTCAGTACACCACCATGCTTAGTGTAGCAAGTGTTGAAACATCAATGATATTTTCTTAAACGTAAGTGTTAGTGATTTACTTTGCAATAATTTACACAGAAGTATTTTATGGAACTGTAGTTTACTGGTTTACACAATTTATTGACTTCTCAACGCATACACTTTCAAACAGTTATTATTCATATTAAAAAGTACACAAAATACCGCCAAGTGAAACTCATAACAGCAGTTCAGTGAGAAGGGGTTACATATACAAGTACCATCTTAAGCTGTAGTATTTCAACCTGTGACATTTTCACACATTCGTTTTTCTTGTGTGCGTGCGTGCGTGCGCGAGTTGTGGAGAATTGCCAACTTACCGTCCAAGGCCAGGTACCCGCTAGTATTGGTTCTGCAGCCCCACATTCTGAAAAAAATAAATATGAAAACATTAATAACAACTACCCGAATAAAAGTAAGAAAAAAAATAAAGGACCTTTGTGATGTTTTAATCTAACACATTTTACATGATAAGCATCAGCTACAAAATTAACACATTTTAAATTCATATATTATAACTATCTGATACATCCGTTCAACGCACAAAAAAAAAAAAAAAAAACATATAGGCTTCCAGGATAATACGTGGAGATGGGGGAGGGTCAAAGCCAAACAGTTATCCTATGTCACCCTCCGTGGGCCCCTAAGGGTGCATGCAAGGTTTGGTGACAATCGGTTCATAGGTTCGCCAGTAATAAGCGGACACAGATTTTTGTCTAATAATGATTTAAATGATTATAAACTCCAACAGCTAAGAGTGAAGTAATTCGAACCTAATTCTAGACAACTAGACATTTTTAAACAACTAAACTATAGGATTTTAAAATCTGTAATGTGAGTTTTCACTTCGTTGGTCAGTAAGAATGATATGAAAAGATTTTCGAGCTTTGACAATTGGGCTGTAAAGCCTATAATCCATTTATTATTATTTTTGTTGGGTAGCGATAATTGAAGTCATTAGAACGCTATGTGATATTAAACAGTTTGTTAAAGAAGCGGAAAATTTAGAGTAAGCGGAATTTTAACCCTAATTTTCTGAACAAAAGTATACTATTTTATAAAATAAAGCTAATTATTGCGTAGAATGAAACGTTACCAAATATAAGCAAGTATTTTTCATAATCCTAAGCATTATGGGATCTATAGTTGCTACAAATCTCACTTCGAATCTCGAGATTAGTTGGCCTCTGAACAAGTTTCTAAACAGTAAATTATGCATGTTGTACGAGGATAGTTTTCCCTGAAAGATTCAGGACAACATTATCTTGTTTCTCTTGGGAGCCAAATTATAAGTTACTTCAATTACTTAACTAGGATCGGAATCCAAGAATTACAAATTTTGCAGGCTAAGCAAAAATTAAGTTCAAATTTAATCTAATCAGAACAATCATTATTTGACCTGCAATCTCCAGCTGTAAATTAGGAGTATTGAAGTGAGACATTCACTCAACCAAAGTGAAGAATACTTGCTTTGCCACGCCTATATATATTTTCAGTTGCAGACATTGTCTCTCCCTCCAGTTTGGTTTGAACCCTCTTTTGCTCTGTTAAAGTTACTGAGAAAACCTTGCTTGAATGTCTCTCCACTATTGTGAATAGCAATGGTCACTATGAAGGTTAGCTTTAAGGTCCGATTCGTTATACTGTGTAAAAGAGGTCGATGTTTAAGGAACGTTTTTATCACAAATACTATCAGAAATAACACGACTTCTTTCATTAATCGACCTGTAATTCATTTGGCACAAAATCATATGTTTCGTCATTTTGATCGCCACTGCAGCTAGCCAATTTACTTTTTAAACACTTGGATTGTGTGTATGTTTCAGCAGTTTTCGCTGACAGGGTGTTGCTTTAGTTTCATAAGCTAACTGTTTTCTTTGGGTATAGGTTTATCTCCGTCGGCATTCCATCTAAAAAGTGCTCGGAACAAATACACACTTTCTTCGGCAATATTTTTCGGTTAATAGTTTTAATCCATTCAAGTTTTGTTGGCTAATCTGATGGAATAGAATGAAATTTAAACGGTATTAAACACCTACAATCCGTATGCAATTGTTCGTGTATTTTATACATGGATTCCTTTCATATATTCTGTTTGCAGCGATTATTTGAACAACTATTAATTGCACAAGAACTGCTTTCACCTTCATATTTTTCAGCACTATCCACGACAATTATTGAAATACAAACGTAAGAACGAAAATGTAAACAAAAGCTCGATATTGTTTTGATTACAACACTTGCGTATCTTTCACTCTTGCTATGGCTGACGCACCACGTGATAGATTAATGGCAGTGCTAATGAAAATTTGGTCACACGTGAATAAATGCGTCGATAGGATAATTTTTTTTTTTACACTTTGACAAATTTCACATAATTTTATATCAAATCCAATATTTTGCGAGTAGCTTCTACTTTTAACACGTTTCTAGGTTACTTATTTATGCTTATATTTACTTGGATTTAAAAATATATAGTATAACATACCGAATACTTCATCAGATCCAGGTTTTAACACATCTGGAGTTGTGATAGGCGATATTGTAGAGGACTCGGTAGAAACCTGTGGTGGTGTTGGTGTAACCTTGTGTTGAGGCTTTTTGGTCGGAAGAAACGGCAGAAAACCCAATGTTACGATGGAGTTTGGGCAACATACGATACGCTCACCTGCTAACCAACCGCACTGATTGTTATTAAAAATATTTAGGTTTACCACACCTATTTTTGACCAACATTTTCTGAGTGACAGACATACTCCAAATTGACCAAAAGAATTTGAACACGCATTTCCTCCTACAGTGGAATCGTTTGGATCGTATGGATAGAAAAATAAGTCCCTTCGATTAACTCTTATCTGCTTTACTGCACGAACTATTAAAGGCACAATAGTGATAGACCTAAACGTCTTGAAGTGGTTGTGGTTTGTATCAAGTTGGTCAAAGCCAGGCTGCCAAAATGGACGATTAACTCGTGCCTTTGAAACTAACAAAAAAAAGTTAGTTATATTTTTAGAGTACTGTAATATATAACACAAAATTAGCAAGTTGATCAAACCTAAGTGTGGGCGTAAGTTAAAATTATGTATATTCTATAAAATTACACAATTTATATATACAAAATTTCTAATAAAGAGTATTATACTTTGTATGGTAAAATGAATAGAAATGCTTAAAAACAAACAGATTAAGTTTTAAAACAAGAATGGAGTTGTAAAATAACATACCAGATATTAGGAAAAATTTCCTATCATCACAGCATTTATCTAACCAATTATCCTTATTAACAAAGCGTAAAATATATGAAAAACCTTAAGTAATAACAGTGAACCATTTCCCTGTGAACATAAAATCATCAACAGCATCATGTTATTAAATACACAAAAATACTTCAAAACTATGATTAAGGATTGTTCCCATGTCAAACCTAAAATTAGGCACTTAAAACTCATCTAAGGAGTAGTTTCTTAATTTTGGTTAAGTGAAACTAAACGTTTAGAGTAGAACTTCATGAAAACCGACGAAAGGGAAAAACGTTTAAAACAAGTGTGATAAGGAATCTGAATGGCAACTTTGTGTTACATATGGTTCAGAGGTCCTATGGGTTCAGGTGAAGCCATCCGTAATGTGAAACTAGTGATCAGAGGGAAGGCAACTTTACCATTTCATTACAGTTCATAATGACCATCCATGTTAACAATGGTCCTGCAGCGTAGTTTCCATTGCACAAGGGCTTTGAATCAAGCTGTCATGTCAGTATTACACCTCTCCTCCCCGCAGGCTTTCCATACTCCATTTGGTGTACGAGTACGATTGTTTCCCAGTGGCAGTTTCAACAGTCCGATTGCACAGAAATCCATAGTTGCTGCATTCAGCAACTTGACCGGTAAGTTTTCGTACGGAATAGCATTAATACTCGTTTCATTGTTGAGCTGCTTGAGGTATGCAACAGTTGAACAGATATGTTGCGGAAGCAACTCGTGTACACGTGACTTGCGTCGCTTTTCCTGACCGACAATCTTCTTGATTATTTTACTCACTGTTACCTGGAAAACACTACTATTTTTGCCACTGAAATTATATTCCTGAATTCCAACCTGTTAAAAGATGCTACACTTTTCTTAACACAACTAAAGTACGACTTTTTTGTAGGTCTCTAAATGGGTTGTTCCTGACGCTCCAAGTTGATCCATATTTCTGTATTTTTTAATGCTATTAAGTACAAGTGATATATCCATCCTAGAAATTCTAAATCCCAGATCTGAAGATATTTCTATGATCTGAATGTATGAATATTTTGCGTCATATTTCTTGTAAGCAATCAAACATTTATGGCATCATTCTACCTACGCATCTCAATGTGTCAAAAAGTAGCTCTGATAATTAGCATTCTACTGCTACTTTATACTGGTTGTGGTTATCAAATGGCTTATTGATTTGCGTATTCAAAATGTACTCAATCGTCTGTGAACTCACATATAACCATTCTATTCTGTAACTGAAGACAAAACCTCTCATTAAAAAAATACACTTTCATTTATAAACGAGAGTAGTCAATCAGATTCATAGAATTATAGAATTTTCACACCATCTTGAATAAAAACAATCCAATATTACATTAAGACCACCTTCTAGAAAATTTTTTACCATATGTAACTGGGCTATCCCACACCCCTTTTTGGTCTCCCAACTGTTGGGTAAGAGATGTTAAATTGGAGGCTTGCAATTCCCACAATGAGCAAAAACTGAATTATACAGTATTTACAGAAATATTATTGTATATACTGAAGCAACACATGGCAAGCTGTAGAGACAAACGTGTATGGTTCTAAATTACCACAACTTTCCCTCCTTTTCTGAAGCCCCTCATAGACTGAGATACATATGATAAAATGGCAGTGATTCTAACCTGTGATCCAACCTATGGACGTATAATAAACGAAAAATTCCAAAGGGCATTATGACACTTAGCACAGATGCAGGACATTTACATTACACACCCAACAACAGCTTATTTGTTACTCTTGGAATGATCAACAATTTAATAATGGTAATAATATAGTTCATAAAACTAACTCCATGGAGCAGAGCACAATATTAAGCACATTCTCCCACAGCACGAGTGTGGATAATAGTTACAGGGGTATGCATAACATAGGGTAGTGAAAATCACGATGATAATGTTATATCATTTTAACAAAATAACAACTGCAAGTAACTGATCAATTTTCTTTGCACTGATCTTTGATTAACTACTAACTAAGGTAAAACTGCCTCAAAACAATTACACCAGCATATAACACATTAAATCGACACAAATGTACGTACAACTTTATATAAAACTTAAGACCAATTAATGACATTAAGTGATATCGACTGTATATATAAATACACACAGACACACATTATGTCTTCAGGTCTGATCTATAGTGGAAACTTGGACATTTATTGGTCTGATGTAAAACAACTTAACACATTTTGTTATCCTTTCTGGCATTATATTTCACTGTGATAAATACACTTACTATTCTACGGATTAATCACTGTAACAGACACACTGAGATACCTCACATCCAACAATTGTAACAGTCTAACAAACACATATGGATTAACCAATCATTAATAAGAAAAATGTCACACCAACAATGAACTATTTCAACTTGTATCCCATACATATATACAAAAAAAGTTTATCCTAGAGTAAACATTAACCCTTAATATTCGTTTAAACTAGACATGGCATAAAATTTCCCTGTTCACAATAAGCACGCTAAGCATTTAAATTATCATACACAAGAAGAAAACAGTCACCAAGATTCAACACCGTAAAGTATGCTGCATATACTTTTTACATGTCTTAAAAAAAGGAAGCTCTTGAAACGCTTTACACAAAAACACTGAACGAAAATGAACAACTTCCATCTACTTACACAAGGTTCAAGTAAATAACTTGTCATATTCGCGTGTGCTTAGAACATTTTTTTTACAGCTCTCTCAAGAGTCGTACATTCTATAGCGTATACATAAATTAACACAAGCTATAATTTGAATGTTCTTAACAAAGAAGTGACACTTCCAAGCATATAAATGAAATTATATTTATGCACATTGGACATTATAAGACTCTTAACTTTATAATTATTTTATCATCGAAATAAGCTAAAAAAGTTTACAAAATTCCTAGTTTATAAAGGTGACTCGAGATATACAAAAACTGATTGATGCCAAGGGTTTTCTCTCACTGTTACCGACATAGCTAAGTTTACATAGCCTGGTCTACAAGACGTTTTGAGAGCTATTTTCAAAGCTGCTAATATTATGTCAGTATTCTGAATTTACCAGAATGTTTATCAGAGTCAGTAAGTTCAACAGTAAAACAACTTAGAGCATTCCACAAGCAATCTAAGTCCCAGCTATGGCTAATGCTATCACCACCCTGATCTCAGTATTAGATACAACTGGCAGTTGACGAAGCCAATAAGCATAGGAAATTAGCATTCTTCTACTCTCTCATGTTCAGTTTAGTACAGCTTGAAGAGTCCAAAACCTTAAAGATTAAGTTAGAAGTCATTGCTCGTGTTTATGAAACTAAATAAAACATGTGATACTAACCAAGTGCAGTATTACAATAACAATAATTGCACGAACATATTGAACATTTGATTAATACCGTGTAAAATGTACAATACATATAACCAGTACATAATAAATGTTTTCAAAACCCAAGAGCTCATCCGTTAATTGGAAGTTAACCGAGAATACTGCAGGAAATTTAGCAAGTGATGTTCAGGAATAAACAGCTTTCTTTATCAGCGAATCAGGTACTGGCTAGGTGTTTAACTTTTCCCAGCATTGGAACACGAGTGGACAATTACACATGCAGAATAGTACTTCTTGTGCCAATCTGGTTTAAATTGTCTTTTTTCTTTGTACTAAAGGTCAGGTTCTCCTCTTAGTAAGTTCTTAAGAGATTTTGTTGAACTTTTAAACTTAAGAGTTGATCTGTAACTTAACTTTTGACGTTGAATATATAGTTAACTGAACTGAGATATTATCAATATTTTTCATTTAAGTTTTCTTTAGAGATTTTATGAAACTTTAATTTTATTATAATTTTAACTCGCAGTGTGAAACAGTTTTAATTTAACCTTAAGATTAATTTAAATATCAGTTTTGTAGTTTATCTTACATTGGGAAGAGAATTTACAGTCTGTACTAATGAGATAGAGTTCACAAGAGAGGTAACACCTTCCTCCCACCAGTCTAACACACTCACTTGTCCTCGTTTTATCTTGTTTCAGTAACCGCTTGTGATTTAGTTGCATTTAAATAAAAACCAGCTTTGTACACCTTGCACGATTCTACTCTTCCTGACAAACTCAATTAGAAGTGGGAGAGACAAACACATACTGTAACTTGCTATCCTTCGAACGTCCACTTAACTACTCTTAGGAAAGTCCACAAGCCAGAAAATACAGTACATGCATCACTTCTATAGATGTGGTATTGTACTGCTAAGTATGATCTATATAAAAAAAAAGTCGTAACTTGTTTCACTAGTGTTAGTGCTCAAGGTATTCCTGTGGCCCCAAAATCATAACACTTCTAACATTATACTAGCCACAGAAACACTTGATAGTCTTGTACTACGTCACTACTGCTATGTTCATGTATTTGTATTATTCAATGAGCATAATACTACTATATTCATAGTGATCACTGACTTTTCATACAAAATATATCTTAAGTTATTACTGATATATTCGAGATCTCTACTTTTGGAGACTTATTCCAATTTTGTGAAGGATTCTCTCTCACTAGCGAGATATTTTCGATCATAACAGATTCATTGGACGAGAATTGAAGTTTAAGAGTAAACATCAGAACGACAACAACGACAAACAGTTGACACGTGTGTTTATATACGGTAATTGATGTGATTAAAGCTTCGAAAGGGTAAAAATGTATAAACATTCTGTTTATATAAAGTCGGTTTGTATTCAGCCGGTGTAACCAAGAATGCTCATAGTGACAAAGGAATATGTTAGCGAGAGACGAGAGTCCATTCTAAAGGTGACGCCATTGCTATGTCATCTATTTTGTCACATATCAGACCGTTGAAGATAGTGACTATCCTTGCAAAATTGTATTAATTCTTCAAACTGTTGGCGGATGAAAGTTGTGTATTTCATTTTTTTCGGGGAAAGTTTCCTAAGACTATATGTATTGTTTTCTCAATGTTGGTGAATAAAGATTCAATATCGCAACTAGAAAGCATATACTGATAAGCATTATTAATTTTAGAAATTTCTTGTACAAAGAAAAAGGAATATTTAATTATAAACTCGTTGGAAGCAAGTGCATTTAGAATAGGAACGAGGAATTCAGCCATTTTATAAGTTTGGGAACCGATGCTGGATAAAATAGGTCTTAGGAGGATATTATTTTGTCAACTTTGATTAACCAATACACGAGACTTGGGTGGTAGCCTGAGAGATAAAGGTCTTCAAGGGCATTTTCTGAAATGTAATTGCGTTGTTTGATATTTCTTAAAACTCGTATTTTTTTTTCTTCACGTCTTATGGTGAGCTTTAACCAATCAACATTAAGAGCTTTGAATTTTGTTTTCTCGTTGAGAATACATTGCATTTTGCTAATGTAAATCGGTTTATGAAAGATAACAACACCTGTACCTTTATCAGGTCGGGTAACGACCAAAATTTCGTTATTAGCCAATTCCTTCAAGGAAGTATATTCTTCGTGAGTGATGATGAAACCGGATTTATGGGAGTTTTAGTTGTAAAATGAAGACCTAGCAGCGTTTTTGAATTTTTTTATTTTTATTTTTACAAAGCTCTCCAAGTTCTGGAAAAATTCCTGTTGGGTTGAGATTTCAAAGTTTTATAAATGCACTCGAAGGAGAATAGGTAATCAGCTAATTTAAGTTTGGGGGGGTAAGTAAAACTAAATCTACATGTACTAATTTAAGGGGAAGCAAGTGTTTGTGAGAATTAATTACCATACTTGTGCATTGACAAAACTGAATATAATGTTGGAGTGATATCATAATGGTCATATCTACAGTCATTATATTTGCAAATAAAGAATATAAATGCTTATTTTTAGTCAAATTTATTTGTTACAACAACATTGTCTTTGCGACAGTTAGATGATATTTATTTATCATACTAATTGTAATACACAACGATAACGCTTTTATAATAACAGTAGCTTTTACCCGACTTGTCAAAACAATGCAAGTTTTGTAAAATCCCTTTAGAAGTTCCTGCCCTTCTTTCAGGGAGCTTTGTTGATCAAACTCCCCCTTAATCATGAAAGTAGAACAGTCAGAGATTCAAAAAAAAAAAAAAAAAACAATAAGAATGGCGCAATTTACATTTAGAATGACTCATAATATGAGCTTTATAGACACACACAAATAAGAACTGGATTTTTTTTTAAATATTAGATAAGTATTTTCCTGTAATTGAATATGTTTTGATTATAATGGATATGAAAATCTTTACCTGGAAATAATTTTCATAGGTATGATGGTAAAAACTTATTTAATTGGCATACCAAATATTTGACTGAAGTTGAACATTTTAAATATATATATTAAAATTTAGGATACGTTAAGATTACGATATTATCCTAAGGCAATACACGCATAGCTCCAGTCATCCGGGGTAGTAACAAACACCTCTAGGCATTAGGAGTCCAAGGCCTCGCTAACATAATCTTGATGTATAACGTCCCACCAGAATTGCTAAAATATACTCAAGTGTTCTTTTGGCAAGTGGAAGACTTTCCAAATCAGTTGATATTTTACACGTACATTTACGCATTTTTCTAAAAATTATGGTTTAAAAATCAAAAGAAGAAAGCATCCACAGCCAACAAGTCTAAAGTTTATTATAAAAATTCTATCACATAATTTAAACTTAAAAATTGATTTCAAGTGCCATCATTAGGTAAGAGTAATGGCAATACATTTGGGAGAAAGAAAGAAAAAGATGTTTTATCCAAACAAGTAGTAATAAAACTGAAAAGCTACACGAAAACGCAAACAAACTAATAATAGTCACTAACGTGTTTTTAAAACTCACCCAGAACTTCGAAATGTATAAAACGTATAAATATCTAAGAAAGTGGAATTCAAGCTATCCCTGGAGAACGTTCAAAGTATTTTATATATATTATACAATATAGTTTTGTTGCTGAGCGACACAAGCGAACGAAATGTTAACAAAAGACAACTGGCTTTTATAGATAAGATACATTGACTGATATAATGTTATAACAAACACTACTTGTTAAAATGATGGAAATTTAAACCTACCTCTTCCTGCTCCTAATGCACACCCTTCACTCTGCAATGCGAGAAGTGAGACAAGTAAAGCCAACAATGTCATTCTATGAGAGTCTGAAATAAAATCAATCTCAGTTGTAATAACAAACAAATTGCTACGTTATACACTCTTGTTGATATAATAAACTGACTCTTAAAATATCTTAAATTCCATCACAAAATACATAAATATCATTGGCCAGTGAGCTTTTATGCCTTCATTACAAAATAGTATAAAACACAATATTAATTAAAATAAATAAGTTAAACTTTAGTCACTTGCATGGTCAATCTTGACAACAAAGAACCAATAAATAAAACTGGTCTTTTATAACATAACCATCTATTTCAGCGCCTAAGACGAATATTTTTTACTCGACAATATATATATAATCCGAACATGAATTTTCGATATTTGTTTGTTGTTACGCATAATGGACTATCTACTCTGCCCATCGTGGATATCTCTATTTTTAGCATAAGCCCTCAGACTCATCACCGAGCCGCCAGTGGGCGTTTGCTGTGTATACGATTATCAACACGATTTTTAAGGAATCTTGTACTTTCTAAACTCCAAGGCTCATGGCTTATTTTTATAGGATGCACCAAGTACAATGTCATCATACCTACGGAATATCTTCATGAAAGTATACACAATAAGATAAACTATCATATATAAACACCTATGTATTACTACAACTTTCTCTACAGTGCCAGTTTCTCAAGTAACATACCTTTGAAAAACTTTAAAAACAAATTGGCTACAAAAAATATCCGAATACTTACTGATAAATGCACTGGCTTAGAAAAACTGCTAGCCTGGCAAGATGGGGATTTAGATTGCCCTGTGGATATATGCATTCTCATTTTTTTTAAATTTAATTCTTAAAAAGGTTCCATGGAATTCCTTTGAAAACTAGCATAAGCTCATTAAACAATGTACAAGGCCAGTGTAGGGTAAACTCGTTAATGCCAGGAGAAAGATTTTCTTTAAGATAAGCGCATATACAATAGACATATTTAAAATTTGTGTTTAGAAAAGAAACCCATTGAAACGTTAAATTATGAATTTATCATAATGTAGATAACTTTGATATTCAAAAACAACAACACAAAAACAGGTCAAATACAACACAAGACTAGACTGATATAATTTTATTCTAACTTCTACTATGAATTTAATCCCATTATACTGTGGTTGCATGTGAAGGTTGAGGGATTATATTAAAACGATTTCGGAGCCTCACCAGATTATAACAGTCCATGTCGTCTCGTCCAATCATGCCCTAACCTATGGCCTTACATATTTATAATAGTCCTACAACGTAGCTTCTGTTTTAAATGGTTTCGTCGTAAGGTTGCCTTGTCAAAAGCACACCACTATTTCCTGCAGACTTTCCATATTCCACCTTGTGTAGGAGGACGACGGTTTTCCCATTGGTGGTTTTAATAATCATATCACACAACAATCTGTAGGCGTTGTATACGGAAACTTATTTAATTTGTTTTCATTCTCCAGCTATTTTATGAGCTCGACAGTTCAACATACATGTATGGAAGCAACTTGTGTACATTCGACTTGTATCAATTTTTAGCCGCATCATAGAATGGCTCCGAGTTTTTAAGTATTAGGTCGTCAAGAAACTGATGTCGCGTTTTGGGAACACTTTCATTAACCACCCCCCAAAAACCGTACATCATGTATAATAGTTAAACGAACCGCTTAAACGTCACGTTAGTGTAGCCTTTTTAATGTGTAAAGTTTAGTATACTAATCCCTTATAGTGATGGCACACGACGACACACATTCGGCATGTAATGCTGTTTTAATACAGTTGTAATTGTTTGTGATTAACCACAAAGCTACACAATGGCCTATCTGTGCTCTGCCCACCACGGGTATCGAAACCCGGATTCTAACGTTGTAAGTCCGCAGACATACCACTGTGGAGCGTTTTAATACAATAATGGAAACAATGTCTCTGTAGCCACAAAGAATATCAAAGAAGTTTACGGAAATATTCTCGTCTTCGGAATGTTAAATTCTTGATCTAAGAATATATTTGTGGTTTGTGTGCATGAATATTTTCCGTTAGAAAAAGAAATAATGTTACATACCATATTTTATCCACCAAAAAGCGATCGATTTTCGGTGGCATTGCTCTACTTAGTTTTTATAATGTCATTCCACCGAGACTTTATACTAGCTGTGGTTATCAAGTAATTGGTTGATTTTCACATTCAAAATTGTTTTAATAAGATACTCAATCCTTTATATTCAGAGAACAAAATAATTAGTTAGATTTTCAGGAAATACCTTTACTGAGAATTTTCAGGTTGTTGCAGCTAGATCTATGCTCAATTTTTTGTCATTATTTTTCAACATGTCTAACCACCTAGTACACTTAGATACAAAAACAAAAAAGTGTGACATTTGGCCAATTCCAGAACTGAATATTACCATATTAATATACTGGCTGGAGTGTCAGTCTGTTGGACGGGTGAAATAAAAACTCGTTTGTAATAAAGGATACAAAAAATGTGCTTATTTTGTTTTCTTAACATAATAAAAACAAGCTGAAATACCCGGTAACTGATGGGGAATGGTTAAACTTAATTCAAACAATACAAATTTAACAGCAATCGTACATTTCAAAGTAATAACTTGAACAAACTATTTCAATTTTAAAATTATAACAAAGCTTCTTCTTAAACAACATTTGCAATTTGTCTTCCATCTACCAAGAAATAAAGATTTTGAGGTGATTCCACCCTTGAACACCCTACATTTTATTGACCATGAGAAAAGCATGGCTGTTTGAGAAACAATCCAACAACGTTTATACTTTGACCTTGAATCTTTTAGAATATTCAACATTATCTAAAATGTCAGCCTGCCAAGATTGTTTGAGATTGACTAAATAGGCCGGGTGTAATTAATCGACAAGGTTTACAATATATAAATAAGACTAAGTTCAGTTTTGAACCCCTTAGGGCATTCCACATAATGTTTGAATACAAATTTTGGTTGACATTGGCCAAATAGGCTCGGAGGAGTTAGGGTGCAAACAAACATTTATTTTTAATATATAGATTAAAAGTGTAATAAAAATACATAAAGGTACCAATGCAGAAAAGACACCGTTTTCAAAAATTCTATCACTATGAAATTAATTTGGTGTTCCAACCCCCCCCCCCCCATGACCTTCCTCGTGTCATCTTGTATCGTGTTAAGTTTGGTACCGATTGATCAAGAAATATGGAAACATATAAGGAACAGGTGGCTGAAAGGTGCGAACAAAACACAAACTTAGCTTTTTGTATTAGATAATGGAATAGAGGGCAGCACTCATGCTTGTTGAGTACGTTGAATTATGATGCACTTCGCAACAGTTTAGAGGAGTAAAATTTAGGAATGAGGAAAAAATAAATGATACCAGGAGAGTCACGGTTATATTTAACAAATTTATGTGAACTTATTTCCAACAGGTAATCTTGGGGGAGGGGGGGATATATATATATATATATATATATTAATAAGTTTAGGATAAAAATAGCTTTCGATTACAATAAGTTATGTGCGTATAGCAAAATCAAACTGGCCATAAGTACACTAATCAAATATACTTGTTTCTACATAAAGATTAGAATGCATTGTTTTATCAGTCGGGTACTCCCGCTGTTAACGATATTTTCGACCGTAATCCCAACTCATCAATAAGATTTCGTACAAAAAGTTTCAAAATAAATAGTTGGCGTTCAATTCTCAGTGGTTTCCAGCTATATGTAACGACTACAACTACCAGTTTGAGCAGTTGTGTAGAACGTTAACTTCCATCAAGATACTCGTAAGTTAAACTAACTTTGGTGTTGCTTTTGGCCTACTTTTTCAACCTGTTTCATGTCGATCCGAAGAACTGTTAACTCACTGTACATATTTCCACTTGTTTTTGAAGTACGTAGACATTTCCCTTAAGTGTCTCCTTTCAGTAAATACAACATACCAATTTCAATTTTTCTTCAAGTACGCCCTTTCTTTGTATAAGTTCTAAAATGTTCCACGAAATCTAAAATATTAAACTTTAGGCAAACACACCAATTTTCTACCCTAAGAGATGCCTTAGATTATCTGCTTTATTCTATTATAATCTGTCCATTTTTTTTATTTTTATCATACGTGTTTTTTTAGGCATCATTATGTAAAGTGGGCACGTTTTGTACAATCAGTGAGCACAATGTGTATGATATACCAGAGATATCTATCCAAAGAACGATACGCGTTATAAACAACCTGCAACATCGAGTGTTCAAAAATTGTTCAACTTTAATTTTTTATTGTTACAAAATATATATGTTTCAAGATGTTAGAAACATGCCATTTATATAAAATTTAAGTGTAAACAAGTAGCATCATATAAACGCAAACTAAATGAAACAAGTATTACATATACGTAAAAAGTCATGACAGACTTTATTTAAACTTTGAAACAGATACCAGAAGAATATTTGATGGAGCGTACATCAAGATAAGAGCTTATGCCTAGCTTTTCACACTTGTTTCAGTATTTTATCAAGTCTCCACGAGATTTTAATTTGATTGTTTTTAAGCGCAAAGCTACATAATGGGCTATCTGTGCTTTGCCCACCACGGGGTACGGAAACCTGATTTTTAGCGTCGCAAGCTTGCAGACTTTCCGCTGAGCCACTGTGGGTTTCTGTAAGAGAGTTAACTCAGTCATATTTATTCTAAACAATCATATAAATAAGAGCTAAGTTCCACAGCTGAGACTTTAATTTTATAATGTATCATAAGCAAAAATTTCCCATTTCCCTTCAGATACATTGGCTAGTACATAAAACGTATAACATCGATAAGTTTATAAAAAACTGTACATGCGTTATCAACTTAAAAAAAAAAAAGACACTATGAAAATATATTAAGAACGTCAGATGATTTATATAATAAAATACGAGTAATACTATTTAATATTATAATATAACACAATGTTCAAATCTTGTTAATCCTCTCTTTAATGCACCAAAAATGACTGGTATATTTATTTTAAATCGTGTAT